ACACACACAGAAGGATAGACAGACTTTGATTCTGGTTCATCCACTTACAGACCAGACAGACAGACAGACAGACAAATTAGGAGACAGACAGACAGATTAGGAGACAGACAGATAGACAGACAGATTAGGAGACAGACAGGCAGATTAGGAGACGGACAGACAGACAGACAGACAGACAGACAGATTAAGAGACAGACAGACAGACAGACAGATTAGGAGACAGACAGACAAATTAGGAGACAGACAGACAAATTAGGAGACACTGACAGACAGACAGACAGACAGACGGACAGGCAGACACACACACACACACAGACGGACAGACAGACTTTGATTGTGGTTCATCCACTTACAGACCAGGGAGACACACACACACACACACACACACACATACACACACACACACACACACACACACACACACACACAGACACACACACATACACACACACACACACACACACACAGATAGACAGAAGGACAGACTTTGATTCTGGTTAATCCACTTACAAACCAGACAGACAGACACACAGACAGACAGACAAACACACAGACAGACAGATAGATAGACAAACAAACAAAGACACAGAAAGAAAGAAAGAAAGAAAGAAAGAAAGAAAGAAAGAGAGAGAGAAAGAAAGAAAGAAAGAGAAAGAAAGAAAGAAGGAAAAAAGGAAAGAAAGAAGGAAAGAAAAAAAGAAAAAAAAAGAAAAAAAGAAGAAAACATGTTAGACAAAGAAAGAAAGGAAGAAAGAAAGAAAGAAAGAAAGAAAGAACGAAAGAAATAAATAAAGAAAGAGACAGACAGACAGACAGACAAACAGACAAACAGACAGATAGACAGACTGATTACGAGACAGACAGACAGACAGACGGACAGACAGACACACACACACACACACACACGCACAGACATATTTGACCATCAGACATCCTTTCATTCTGGTTCATCCACTTACAGACCAGACAGACAGACAGACAGACATACAAACAGACGGACAGACATACAGACAAACAGACAGACAAACAGACGGAGAGACATACAGACAAACAGACTGACTGACTGACTGACTGAATGACCAGACAAGGCGACAAACAGACAAACTAACAAACAGACAGACGGACAGACAGACAGACATACATACAAACCAGAGCAGACCAACAGACAGATGGACAGACAGACAGACAGACACAACAGACAGAGCAGACAGACCACAAAACTGCTTTGTGTTGTCCATGCATATCTTTGAGCTATGTAGGATTTCTTCCTGCGGTAGAGATTCGTCACTGCAACATAGATGATGTTCAACCATTCAACATTATTATTGTTCTTTCTTGTTTGAATAAGAGGGGAGGAAGCAGAATTCGGAATGACCTTTTTTTTTCTCTCTCCCCTCATGTTTAAACATTTCTTTTTGCAATTGGACGCCATTGAACTTTCTGCCGAGTGAACACTCCGAAATTGGTCAGGACCGCAACACAGAACAGACAGACAGACAGAGGGTGGGAAAGAGAGAAGCGCGTGCACACGTGGAAGAGGGAGAAGAGGGGTTGATGCTAACAAACCAAGCATATAAATTACAGGTCACTGGATGAAAGAATGTAGAGCCAGAGAAAGGAAACAGCAAACACACTTAGTGTACACTCACATACGGATACTGTGATGGTTTACGCACATGTCCACAACAACAGAACAGACAGACAATGGGACCTCCACCAAGTTCGTGGCAAGAAAAGCAACGAGAACAACCCCTAATTCAACGAGTGACCTACTTGTACCCAACTTCCGTAGACGGACAACGCACCACGCACCTACAGACCTACACAACCGTCCAAACGGCAAACATCTACGAGCGCATTTAGGTAAAGATCCAAAGTACATGCATTCACATGGAAACCTACAGTAAGTGGACTGAAGGCTAGGACACACATTAGATAGACCTCCGGGTGCCAACGAGTCTTCAGAAGGGCAGAAACGACAACAAGTACAAGGCCGAAAGACCCGGGACTACGAAAATAGAGACAACTGCCAACAGGTTTCACCGTTGGAGCCCACCGAAAGGTTGATATATCGGAAAGAAAGAAAGAAAGAAAGATTTGAAGAATGGAAGAAGAAGAAAATGAAAATGAAAAAAAAAATAAAATAAGCGACAGAGTCGTCCTTCAATATCTTCATGTCCCCCACTAGTGAACCTGATCTCTCTCTCTCTCTCTCTCTCTCTCTCTCTCTCTCTCTCTCTCTCTCTCTCCCCCCCCACCTAACACCACGAAGACTTCCACGGAGTCCACAATTCGACTGGACAACCGTTATGCAGCACACACAGTAGAATTATCAAGCTGCCTTTTTTTTTCACGGATCCCCCCTTACGTGGCACTGCTTTCCTTTTCTTCACCCCTGCTCTGCTGCCATCCCTTTCCGCCTGTCTGGCCACCATCCGTTCCTGTCTCTCCTCAGCTCTCGCCTTCTCGTCCAACATACCTTGATATTTCTCAACCCAATGAGGCTTCGACAACCTATCCACCAGTCTCATGTCCCTGACCTGGATCGTCACCCTCTTCGAATGGATGACCACCTCGTTGGTGTTATCGAAATTGGCGACCAGGTACGCCTCGACAGCCTCCATCAAAGCACGCACCTCCCTCATCTAAAACCTCACGCCCATACCCGGAGCAATGTCCCGCTCCACAACCTCACGCACGAGACGCAAGAACGGTCTAAAAGCCAAGCAAAGGTCGGTGGATCGTTGCAACTTTCTGATTTCCGACAAAGTTTCCATCCCGGGGCGTCGACGGTGTCTGGGGACCTGAGTTTGTGCACCTGCGGTGTCTCCGGTCCCTGGCACCGCTTTCGGGTTCACCTTCTTTCTGCCTGCGGGCGTCTACCCACGTGGCGGTCCAGGCGTGCACTTCTTCTTCTTCCCCGGGCTCTGCGACATCGCGACATCGCTCGGCCCGCTCATGTCACCCTGTGCTGCAGAGCACCCCTCGACGCGACCAGGACCACATGGGCCCTCCACCTCAGCAGACAAACGGGAAATTTTTGAGCGCTTCTCTGTCCTCTTGCCTGCCTGCGCTGAGCCTGGCAAGCCATCCTCCGCCACATACCGAATGTCTCGCAGGAGTCCATCTGAGTAGGTCAGATGGAAAGACACACCAAGCGGGTCTCTGAATCTCATGGTGACGTCTCCATCATGCTCATATGTCAGGGAATATACGACCAGGACCCAACCAAGAACGGTCTTGCAACCGTGCCTGCGGCGAATGCGAGCCATGTATCTGTTCTGATAGTCGCCGTGCTCTTGGGCCGTACAACTCCCCTCAACCATGGAGCATATCCCCTGGTCAGCCATGAAGTCATAACCCGCGCACACCATCTGACGCTCCTCCTCCCTTATCTTCTCCCAGCACCGCTTTGCGTGTTCAACCACCAAGACGTGGTCCTTTACATTCACATTGAAAATTGAGACACGTGCCAGAACCACGAGGAACTGCCAACGCTCCACAATGCCTGCATGCATCCATCCCAATGGGAGCCAATGCCCTGATTGCAGTCTTGCTGCCATCGTCACCTTGCCATCAACCACTGCAGGATGCAAACATCCTGGGACCCAATTGACACGATAGCCATACTTTTCAGGGGCCATATGCTGCTGCAACTGTCCTTCAGGGATGACACGGGCCCCAATGTCCATGGCAGACAGAACGTCACTCCTCATTGTGACATGGTCCCATATCTACGAGCATACTCCATCATACGTGGCTTCCTGCCCTCTTGCATGAGTGTATGTGCTGCCATCCTCACCAGTGAAAACTTTCCCTTCAACCACCTCCGAGTCCACAGGGCTCCGAAGCGGTGGGAAAAAGCAGCCAGCAGTATGGGTAGTACATGCCATTGCCTTCTTCTCGTCTTCTGAGATCTCCCTGTCGAGGTGCCTGAAGGAGAAGTTGCCATTCACATAATGCGTGCTCCAGACATTTCCCATGGCATCACACATCATCATCCTCATATGGCCACATGGAATCGGGATCACACGTGGCACCCAACCCCACCTAGGATCCCTCCTCGCATCGCTCTCGTGGCACGCCGTACTCCCTGTTGCGTCGTTCCCGCCAATCACCTATGCCAGTCCGCAATCTAAACTGTCGTACAAAAAATCGTTTAGCCTGAACTCGCCCTGCGCCTCCAGAACACTCCACATGTCCAATGCATATTGCCCTTTCACCTCTGCCGTTGCCCCATCGTTCAACCTTAATAGTCTGTCAAACACGATTGCCAGAGTCACGTTTCGCCATATATTCGTTTTGGGGCAGGAAATGGAACCCATGTCCCTTCGACTTTGAACGCAAAGCAGGGTGCTCCTCCAACAATACCCGGTTGAGCACGACCCGACACCCAATTGATGTCATATGGGTACTCTTCTCCTACTGATGTCTTCACCACATTTTCATCTTTCACAATACACCCTGTCAGAGATTTCCTGCTTCTCATATCTCCTTCCTCTCTCTCTTCCCCAACCGTTTACGTCTCACAAGTGCTCCCTCCTGCATCATTCTCTGTTTCATCACCATCACCCATCATCTCTGCAGTCTGTGCACATATTGTCGCAAACACCTCTGCACAGTCTGC